ACTGACAGAACTTGTATTTCTTTAGGGTCCAAATGTTGTAATTTTTATTTAAAGTCTTCTTGTTCAAACTTACTAATCAAGTTTTCTAATTTAAAAGCACTTGATTTATCGACTTGTACTAGAAGGTTTAATAACAACAAACTTAGAGCTGTTTAAGCCACATTTTCCTTTCTCTGTTTTCAATTGAGTTTTCATTTACTAGTCATTCTTGTTAAAAAAAAAATTCATAGAGCTTATAGAGGCTCAAACACAAAACATACATGTTCTTCAATTTGACCTTTGTTTAAGATCAAATGTGAATCACGTGTAATTAGAGTCGATATTTACACGTTTTGTCAATAAGATATTACTTTCAGGATATCTAATGAATAATTTATATCCAATTCTTGCTACTCTTTGGTAGAGCTTTATCACTTAGGTTGGGTATGCCTTTTCAAATAATTGTGCACTCTTTGGAAATCCGATAATTTCACCGACTTTTGTCAAAATTTAACATATTTATAAGTTTCTCTTCAATTAAATATTCAGCGATATGCTTTAGATTAGATTGTAGAATGACTTTTATTTTAACATCTATGAAAGGAATATGAACAATTATTGCAGTCTATAAATTATGTAACTAATCTGGCACCTAATTCAAACTTCAAGTGAGATAATAGTTAGCGAGTTTATTACACAGGCAACTTATGTCATTATATTTTATTTATTAATTTTTGTGGGGAAGTGGGTGCGGCGGGTGTAGTCTATTAGTCTTGCTTGTGTGTAAGAAGATTATAGATTATTAAAATATGTATTTAGTGTAGTTTTCAACAAGGTAACACATATTATGTGTATCGTACAACAAAATCTCTTTCATTTAAAGGACCTGCATCTCATTTAGTCAACCGTTCGAAAACACTCCGGCATTAAGTAATTATTCTCCCCCAGGGTGACAAGAAGTAATTTATATTCCGTGCTCTTTATTTGCTGACCCGAAGCCAATAAGCTTAACCCAGCCCTTACCCTGGAATCAAGAACTTTTCGCGTTTACGTCATTTCTGTGATCATATTATTTATCTTTCGTTGTGCTGAAAGCGGCATGGTTTATTTCATGATAAACGTACACTGTCTGTCTACAATTAGCCACTAAGCTAGTTGACCGAAATTTTGCTTTCTAAATCGACGATTTTAGTCGAAAACACCTTTGAGAAGTATTTATTCTGCTTAAAATTTAGTCTTTGTGCGTATGACAGATGTGAAACGGAGTAGAACCACATTACAAAATAGTATACTAATTTTTGCATTCTGAGCAAGGATCTATTCTCGAATTAGATAGTTCTATGTGCGCATAATGACTTTGTTTATTTGCCACCTGGGGGATGATTATCCCATAAGAGTAGTCGTATTGCTTAAATCCGGTGGTAAAAAATTATTTGCATTGATCTGGGAAAATAATAACACTGCCATGAACCACCCAACTGCAGAAGTTAGCTACCATTTAGTTTTCGAACCTTAGTTATTTACGCGGATAGCCTCTGTCTTGTTCACAAGGTTTTTGCAAAGATCACGGAACATTGGATATCGACCGGATTCGTCTTCTCATGACCACAATGCTTCACACTAAATTCTTAAAATTTCCTTCAAAAACTTTAGCCGCTATCTCAGGCATTGTTAGCAATTAAGATATTTTTTTTAAAAAAATGTGTTTCACGCCACCGCCAATGTTCGTGACCAGCAAGTGCATTATGTCTCTGACCACGGTCTATCAGTAAGAATTCAAATTTCAAATTCTCGCTAACATATCGAGATCGTTGAATTGTTGATACAAAATTCTTTATCTGACATAGGTATCCCCAAGGTCAATAGCCCATTTTTTGGACAAGGAACTCGTCCCAAAGCGTTACGTATCTCATTGTTATTGCTCTTCTTCAGGGCGACGCTCTATGATAAAAGCCCATAACTCCATTAATGGAAATACGATCCACATGAAACTAAAGAAAATAGTAAAGAATGGATTCATGTAGCAAACATCATGGGATGTATCATCAGCAAAAGAAAATGCTTGTCATCAAGTCGTTATAAGATATTTATGGTATAGTCTTACATATTTTTTTACAGAATATGTTCGATGGGATGGAGGTATATATTAATCATTTTTTTGACATGTTTACAATGATTTTGAAATCATATTATCGACTATTTGTAATCTCTAGAGAGTTTGCAATTTGATTATCATCACGATACATGTAGGTGTTTGTTTCCGTAAAAAACGGACGTACTTTTGTTGTTGTCTTGAGAATAAACCATACTTTTGTCTTTGTATTTAGATTAAGGAAAACAACTAAGGGATAGGCAATACGAAGATTTACTCCACTCCGAGACAAACTAGATCATTTCGGGAATAACATATGGCTAAGTTCCATTTCAATAATTTGCTTGCACGTAGGGGTGTTTAGCAGTGGGTGGGGTGAAACCAGAGGCCCTGAGATAAACCACGAGGTTGGACAGACGACCATACACGCGAGGACTTAACTTATGGTCTAACGCCCACGTGTTAGTTAAACCATTTGGCCACCCATTCCTTTATTTAAACAGGTATTATATAATATTTTGATACAAAGCTGGTCGATCTTGCTATAATAGTTAAAATTACTTTATTATGAGCGAGGTTATGATTGTTTGAAGTTTTGACAAGAAATAGCCTAAATTGTGACGGACGAATATCAGGGCTTACCGATTGAAGTCTTTTTAGGCCAACATGCACTTGATAATGTATCTTTTTATTATGTATGACATTAAAGTGTGTATTTTCCTTTTAGTCTATAATATTTTGCCTTTAAGAAATGAAATAAAAGTCTTTGATATGTTTTAATACGTCAAAATTTAATCTGGATGTTTATTGTCGCCAATAATACCGCGCTTTCTTTGTTCACAATTTGCAGTGTGTATGGCATTAAAGTGTGTATTTTCCTTTTAGTCTAAAATATTTTGCCTTTAAGAAATAAAAGTTTTTGATATGTTTTAATAGGGTAACATTTAATGTGGATGTTTATTGTCACCACATTGAGTGCGTTAATAATACCGCGCTTTCTTTGTTCACAATTTGCAGTGACCGTTTGGGGAGCCCTATTGAAATTGTAACAATCTACGGGCATATTTCTGAACCAAAAGCCCCGTTTACACTTGGGATAAGCGTGCCGTTCTCGGCACGGTTCTAGGCCGCGATAAATTTCAAGAAAATGACCTGTTTATATACTCTAAAATGACTGTTCTCCGACCGGATAGCGTTTACACTACGAAAATTTAACTGTGCTGTGTCTGGCACCGTACCGAGATTACCTCACTTCAGTGGGCCAAATTGGCACGATAATATAAACGGGGTTAATGATACCATTCACAATTCTAACCATCATTGTCATACAATTTCTCTTATTTTTTTTATATGCAGAATTTATATTTCGACGTAATTGTTTTGTTCATTTTACACACATTATTACCAATGTGGTGATAACATGGACATCCGTAAAGACTAACGCCACCAGAAAGAAACAGCTTGTTTAATTCATTTGGTGGGGGGGGGGGGCATTTATATTTACAAAATTAGAACATGTAATAAAAATAAAATTGGTTTACTACAAACTACAATTCTATCCAATTCTATGGCAGCTATTTCGATCTGAAACCAAAACACATCAAAATCACACATTCAAGGTTTATTTCATTCATTGTTTGTAGTTTCCAGTAACTTGCGCAACTGTAATTCCCTTTAGCCATTTAGTTGTAACTTGTAATGGCAACAAATCATTAGTGTATATTATTTGAGGAATGAATCGATGTTTGCTGTACAAAGATATACTATATATGGTTAGATTTGTTAACTTTCCAGATAGTTATGAGTATATGTAGTATAAGATATATGTGAGTGATGTTCTAGAAACAGAAAGCATTCCCTAACCCATTCTCACTTAAAGATACATTATGCTAGAGCTAATTTTGCCCATTGCAGGTCTTTCTTTAAGACTTAAATGTTATTATAAATTATTAATTAGACATTAATTAACATGACAAGACCACAAACGGTTTTTCCATTTAATGATTTAGTTAAAAAATTGAGAAGCGAGGCTAAGACTCGAATATACCAGTACCGTGGTTACGATAATAAACAACCAATAAAAATCTGGTCAAAACTATAAACATTGATAATTTGGCCCAGAATATAGTAATTTCAATGAAATTTTCAATATATTCATTTTGCATTATGGTTTTTTTAATTGTTGTATTAAAAACGGCCAGCTCTTTATCTAAACATAACATAATGTATCTTTAACCCGAATCGGAAATGAAATGGGGCTTAGCGTCTTACTTCTCTGCACCAGTTCGGCAAATAAAGACGGGTACACGCCATCCAGTGTGATAGGAAGGAGGAAGAAAACAGCGACGTTTCCGCCTACTGTTCTTTCAGTGAAATGGGGCTTAGTGCCTTACTTTTCTGCACCAGTTCGGCAAATAAAGACGGGTACACACCACCCAGTGCGCTAGGAAGGAGGAAGGAAACAGCGGCGTTTCCGCCTACTGTTCTTTTAATTTCACACGCTTTCGTGAACCGCCAGCTATCGTTGAATTCACGTTTAATTTAGACAAAGACAATACACTACAAATACAGAATATAATAAAAACCCTAAGGGGTAAATATAGACAAGGGGTCAATAAAATACTAACGCTTATTCCTAACAGTTTTATTCTTTACTGGTATTACTTGTGAAAACCGTGTGCCCAAGCTGCTTTAAGAATTCGATGTAGACTAGGCAGAAATCGATTCCACGTTGTGCATCTAAAAGAATGCTTGACAACTGGAATTCGAAGAAGAGGTGGCGGAACACCGCTGTCCGTGTAAACACTTCTGAGCATACCATTTCGACTGTCTTCAAGGCATCGAAACCACTGGTCTTTTGACAAAACTATTTAGGCATGATTGTAGTGGGTATTAGTCAAAAGTAAAACTGCTTTAATATCTTTTTCAGACGATTCTCTAGAGCCTGGAGACCATTTAAATAAAAAATTCGTTTTGATAAAAATACTTCAAACTTTAGAAGATGGTGAAAAATTATACAGTGAACCAAGTCATCTATCACATCTGACGTCAGCATTAGATCAACAAGCCAAAGGAGACCTTTTAACAGGTATGGGTAAATTGATGTCTTTGGGTGGGCGTTCGTACACAGAATATGTGAAATATGCTGTTTCCCGGATTTATACGGGGCAGGACATTGAAAGTTACTGAATATTGTTCCATTATCAACGAGTGTTGTATGTGTAAAGCAACTTTATTTATATGCCGTTTCTACCATGGAGTGTATCGGCGTATTATACCTTTTATAGCCTCAATATTTGTCAATTCGGAAAAAATGTCGAAACGTAGCTACGCCCATGTTTATTGTGTGTGTGTGTGTGTGTGTGTGTGTGTGGGAGGGAGGGAGGGAGTGGGTGAGGTGCAGTATAAATAGTTAAACCTGTAGGCCAACCATAAAACAGAATATGTATCTTAATCATTACATATTCTGAAAATGCCATGGGGCAGCGTATCCCATTATCGTCGCCATTTTAATCTCTTCCACATTTTAGTCCATTTTACTAAATAGTAAAAGTCGTTACTCCGGCAATCATGTCCGTGCTATATGACACAACGAGAGGAGGGGGGGGGGTATCCAAAGCACATTCCGCGAACAGGCATACTTTCTCCGATACAACATAAATTGTATTTTGTAATAGTTGGATTAAAATGAAAACATAATAACATATTATTAATCTTTAATTCAATGCAAAAACTACCAGTTCTTTGTGTTGCAATATTAACCGATGCATTGGGTCACTTGTACCGTCAAATTATCGCCGCCACATCCCATAAGCCAGACAAGATGACTTTTATTTGCAAGCCTCGAGATTCAAAGTTAAAGGATCTGAATTTTAAATACCGCCATGGTATCTTTCCATTAATTTTCCTTTGTCTATATTTTCAGACGATTCTATGGACGATACCATACTAGTGCCGTCAAAGAGAGATTTTGGAGTCTTGCCACCGTGGAACGAGTTTTGTCGGATGATGAGGATTACTCATTGTTTTCATAGCAGACAGAGTTAGACAGAAATCTACTAATCCATATTAAATATGGTTATTAAGTTGATTTTATTTCCTAATTTTGTCCAGACCATTGCTACACGAAACGTCAGGAAACGTCTTTCAAAAATACTAAAACCCGATTGTGTCATCATTCTGTACCAAACACCAAACCCAATGGACATAATAAACTGATTGTGCGTAACTTTGGTATGTTATATTTTAACATTCCATGGCACCTTGCTCACAAGTTAGGAAGATCATCTTTATTTACCAAATCTCACCAAATTTTGACGTAGAAAGAAAGTGAGACAAACACAGGGACACAGCACACAATATCACACTGTACTATCAATTTAAGTGAATGAATAAGTTGTTTGAATGTACAGGTTTTTTTGTAACATTTAAAATATTGTATCGTTTTAAATATTCCACAGTTTAATAATATTTGGGGTAGCACAATGTAAAATATCTAGGATAAATATTAATTGCTCTGGAATTGGTTATTAGTAACTTTTTTAAAATCAGTCTTTATTTAGAATCCCCCAATTTCAAACGTACTAGAAGTGTTCGTAAACATATTTATCACGAATAAGAAAAATATGTATTCATTTGAGTATTAATATATTATCCACTGGCACTGTAACCATTTCATTCGGATAAATCTCAGATTTCTTAACAGCTCTTTACGAACTCCATATACGCCTCTGGGCATTAATCACTAAAGGAATTTACACTTTTTTAATTTATATGTCATAACACGAAAGCCAGTTCTTAATATTACATGTTTCATGCATTGTGCCTTGAATCTAGATAGCAGTTGCTATGGCTCACATTTCGTTAAATGTTTCACTTGTTAGCGAAGTAATTTTAAAGAATTAAAGGCAATGATCTCGTCATAACTGTTGTTTAATTTTGTTGTTTATTTACAATTTTTCGGTAGTTGCAAAAGCTCAAGAGCGAGTAGGAACGTTTTTGCTGCCACTATTTTCTTGGTGAAAGTCGCCGAGGTCGTGCCTTTTGAGATGCAGTGGACTCTTAAGGGTCATCCATACTCCATTGAGTCGATTCCGACCATTCATACTTTATTGAGTTCATTCCAAAGACGCCTGAGCTCAACTGTGGTTGTCTTCTTTATGATACTATCGCTAGCATAAAAAAATTCTACTTCCGGCGGACGAACTTGGGCATTCAAACCAGCAATATCCAGTTATCGCCAATTACCGCTTACTACTGTTATGACTATGTACGTGAAGGAAGATTGTATATCCCTTAGAGATAAACAACTCTTTAACGCAGACATAATCAGCTCTGGGAAACTCGGCTAAAAGATAACCATTTTCATCTTAAGAGATCGAAATACGTACATTACACATATTACATGTTCGAGCGACATAATTCTAACACCTAGTAATGCTAATATTTTTACTTCAATGCATGTAATTTCTTACTTGCATATAGTAAATTGATTATTTAGTAAAAATGCTTATTTAAATGAATTGGCCTATTGCTAAAATATAATATTGCAGCTAGAATTTGTATTTAGTTCTTTTAATTTATTGTCATATTTTTTATATTAAAGCATAATTCTACCCCCATTATGGTAACAGATGGTAGTGCTTGAAATTATATGGTGGCTGATAGTGGCCATGTAAACTTTCACCGTTATCATAACCCGATAAGAAGATATAGAAAATAATTCGGGGATAAGGCCTCCAGTAGAAACGCACATCCAGCGGTATAAACACAAAAGTGCAACAGTCACAACTGGAATTCGGTTCCCTAGAATGAAACTCTGATGGGCGTAAGAACAATTTTCAGGAGAAGTTCTGAGTAAATGTACGTTATTGTTAATACGGATTCAAGAAATATGGAATACACAATATTTATCTTGCATCGGCATTGTTAAAATACATTTTTAAAAAGTATCATTTATTACCGTAATGAGAGTAGGAATTTGTCGTTTCTATCACGTCTTGCAGCCTTTTCGAACTAAACAGCTACCTTAAAATCTGCTTATATATATAAAAAAGGGACGACATTACAACACAAGTAATACTGGAAATAAAACCAAACAACACATAGGTAGGCCTATTGGCATTTTACAATTATAAATTTACCATGTAAATATATGAGCACAGGACTGGTTATGCCGTCAATTACGCTCCATACTAAGGCTTCTAATCATGTAGCTTTGCAAGTCCAAGGACTGCAGCTGTCCCATTAAGAAACTTGATAATGGGAGATCCTCCGTTAATGCCCCGTATATGTACACTATATACACAATTTTGAACAAGTAATTTTTTTTTTACCAAATCACATATCAGTCCTTTCAGTGTTTCGAATGATTGCTGCGTATAAAAATGCTGATCTTTCACCGGATTCCATAGATCGGCAAAAAAATACACGGATTACGGAATGACACGATGTTACTAAATCCCACCTTTTTTAATATAAAATTTGTACACTCGCATGTTAATGTGGCCACCATATTATATCGCCGTCGCCATGTTTGTCCGTCTGTCGACACTTTCTTGGACTCACTCTAAAAAGCCAAGTTCTGGACTGATTTTCATAAAATGTCAAGACAAGTTAATATCAAGAAATATCAAGTTTAACGTCCTACCTTTCTGTAAATGAAATGAGGTTTAATGTCCTACTGTTCGACTGGGCTAATGAAGACCACGTGCTACGACCTACTTGTATATCGAATTGCAACTATCAAGGGATCTTTAACGTGCACGCCAATGTGTACAGGGGACCTCGGTTTTCGTCCCATGCTGACGACTAGACAGCTGTGTCAGGCCCTCCGCCCTGCACTGCTGACAAGGAGAAACCATGCCGGAAAATCCCGATGAACTTTCTCGGTAAACACCGGGATCGAACCGGTGACCTCCAGACTAGCGAGCCAGTGTCTTACTCACTTGGCCACCGTGACTTTCTACCTTTCTCTACCGACTGAGCTAATGAAGACGGACATACGCCATACAATGTGCTATAAAATTTCGCCCGGGCAGCGTCGCTAGGGCCTGCTAGAATTCCAACTGTCAAGGGTTCTTTTAAGTACAAGGCTATGGCTCCCGTCCCATCCGAACGACTAAACACTGTCCGAGATGATCTAGTGGATGTTAAACCTCATTCCTGTCTCTCACTCCCTTGTCACCCCTCCGTCCTGCACCACTGGCAAGGAGACACCGCACCCTAAAAGATAAATATACATTACGAGTTCAATTCTTAAACGATTTTCATCAAATTTTCAGGATTGGTTATCACTGAGATGACGATGGGCCTAATTATTGCCTCTGATTAACCTTCATCGGATTTTCACAAAGTGGTCAGTGATAAAGTGCCCGAGCTGAAAAAATCGCGAAAACTATTTACAGTTATGGAACTATATCTATATATACAAGGGCGTGGATTTGTCCCCCCCTTTCCGCCCCCCTAAATCCACGCCCATGTATATATATACTAAACAGCAAAAAAAAAAAAAAAAAAAAACCAAAAAAAAAAAACATCAGTACGATTTCAAAATCAGAGAGGCACTTTAATCAAATCATTCTAGAAAACGACTTACTAAATGGATCAAAGCAATTGTTTGTGAACAGAAAGTTGACACATTAGTGATTAATTCATCACAAATCCAAGACATTACGAGAAGGTTTAGAGTCTGTACACAGTCTTTACATCAGTATATGGTGTGTCCACCGCGAGTATCAATAACAGCAGCGCAGCGTCTGTATATGGAGTGGACCAGACGATTGATAAAGGCCATTCGCAGCTGGAACCACACTCTCAGAAAAGCCTGGCGCAATCCATCGGCTGTGTTTGTTCTCGGTACGACGTTATTAAGTCTCCTCTGAATTTCACCCCAAAATGTTCAATCGGGTGTAAGCCCGGACTAAGGGCTGGCCAGTGCATAAGCCATAACGTTGACACCGTTCTGCTGTAGAAAGTCCCGATGATGTGCGAAATATGGTATGACATGGGGTCTGAGAGCTTGATCGATGTAGCGCACTGCTGTGATGCGGCCTCCTCTCCCTGGACCAAGATTTTGGAACACCACAGGACCCACTCTCTGGTTCAGGCCGATCCCACTCCAAACCATTATGCTTGAACCTCCCCATGAGTCTCGTTCCATGACACATTGGTCAGAATAACGCTAGCCACGTCGACGCCATATTCTGGTCCTGCCATCTGCAGTTGATACGCAATACCGACTCTCATCTATGAACAGAACAGTTCTCCATTGCCTGTGTCGCCAGTTCTGGTGTAGTTGGGCAAACTGTAGACATTCACGTCGATGGCGAGGGATTAGGAACTGTCCACGGTGAGGTCTACGGCAATGGATGTTCTCTCTGGTGAGACGTCGGCGCACTGTATCGGTACTGATGGGTCTTCCGTGTGTTCCCACTGTCTGACGTGCTGTCTCATATGCGTGTGTGAAGGGATTCTGCACGTGCTGTCGCACAACTTGGCGGTCTTGTCGCCTTGTGGTAACCCTTGGTCTACCAGTTCTGGGGCGATCATCCGTGGTGTTGGTGGCCGGAAAGCGTTGCTGAAGCCTGAAGATGGTCCGAACATTGATCTGGAAGTGATTGGCAAGGACTTGGGTAGTGTGGCCAGCGTCGAGTCTTCCAAGCGCCTGGTTCCTCTGATCTGTCGTGAGTCGTGGCATGCTGTTGACGTTGTAGTGTGAATGATTCAACCAGCTATGGGGTGCATTTTATAGGGCTGGTCGAGGTGACGGCAAGTGCAGCATGAGTTACATGAAAATCACGGAGAACACATTACCATCACAGAAGTCAGGTTTCGTTTTTGAGAACATTTCCTAGGTTCAATTCTGTGTTTCGGAAGGAGCCTATTTGCTGAGGTAAAGTTGGAGATGTGATCACAAATATACAATAAAAACATTTGGCAAGTTTTATGCAATGCGTCTATACAGATTAACATACCAACCTGACGTTTCTTTTGCTGCTTAGTATAGAACAACCCTAGGTGATCCTCATTATTAAGTATCAAGAAAATGTACCTACTTGCTGTATTTCCCAAGATATATCCATTTGAATGTCCGTTAAAACAGACTGATTTTGTGTCCGGGTGGCCGACATATTTGTTTTGGGTTTTCAGTGTAAACGTTTTGTATATAGAAAACGGCGCATTTTTAACAAATTTTACCGGTAAACAAGTTAACCTGAGTAGACACTGTGGATGTGTTTAGTTTTGTATTAAAGGGAGATAACAACAATTCTGTCTCCTTTGATTTCAATGCATTGCATTTCTTGACCTATAACAGTTTTTGAACAAATGAAATGGGGTTTAACGCCCTACTGTTCTGCTCCGACTGATCTGTGCTATGAGGTAAATTTTGTCCACACAGCGGACATAAAGCCTACTCTTATTTAGAATTTCAACTGTCAAGGGCTCTTTTACGTGCAAGCCAATATGTACACTGGACCACAGTTTATCGTACCACCCGAACGACTATACGTTGTCCCTTGCCAGTTTCTCCGCCCTGCATCACCGACAAGGGGAAAAAAGACTGAAATTCTCGATGAACTTTCTTGGTCATCACCGGGATCGAACATCTTTATATCTACAACATCTCACGGACAACTGATAGAATTATTGATGGGAGTTGACAGTTTCGATTAGTTTTTTCTTTCTTTGGCTAAGCATTCTATAAGAAGTGACGACTTCCCTAAACCATGTCTCTCCACGTTCTGTCCCTTCCGCCATAAAATCAGATAGAGCCTGGTAGAAAATGTAAATTCAAACACTATTCTTCGATTCTAGATCAAAAAGTCAACAAAAATTGTATGCGAAGGGGGTGAAAAGAGAGAAAAGGGGGGATTGCTATAAATAAAGAAACTGCATTTCTAATCTTAATCCATACGTAAAGCGA